CTGCGGGATACGGGGGGAGAGTAGGGGCGTGACGACCAGAACGGCAGGCACGGAGTGAGCGAAAAGAGGGGGGGACGGCGGGCCGCCCGGCACGCGGCGGCAGCAGCAGCGGCCTGCCCGAACGCAAATCGCTCGGCGGCAACAGGCTCCTCCGCCAAGCCACGCCACCCCACGTCTCAATTCGCTGAAGGGAAAGCACCAGGGCTTGGGGCCGCGACACACGGAAGCGGGAATTGGGGGGAGGGGCTGGCGCGCACAAACCGCGTCGTAGGGGGCGAACAAGTCGCAGAGGGGGTGGCCGGGCACCAACGGGGCACACGGGGGCTCATACAACGGGCCGGGAGCCGGCACCGGCCCGAGGGGGTGTTCGCCGGACTAGCCGAGCCGCGGGCGCCGCAGGGCCCGGGGCACCCCTCCACGCACCATCAGGAGGCCATCTCGAGTGCGGGCAGTTGCAGAATGGGCGGCTGGCGGGCCAAGCGAGCCGGCGATGCTGCGGTCGCCCTCGTCCTGCGTCCCCAAGGCAGGGTGTTGCTCAAGAAGGGCCCCAGAGGAGCGGGAGGGGGGCGCGGGGCCCGGACGCGCCGGGGGACTCGAGCAAGGAACGATGAACAATAGCCGGGGTGCCGAAAAGCAAGGAACAATGCGTGTGCGTGTGTGCGTGTGTGATACAGGGATTGGGCACATTAATGTGCTGGGGCCGAACCCGCTAACCCTGCCGGCTGTCCAGAGCGAGGAAAATCTGGCCGCCGATGGCATCCCGGGGAGGCTCCGTCTTGCAAGCGCCATGCCGGTCTGCCTGGCAGCCGTCCGCCGCCCAGATGCCGCCACGAAGGTGCCGTGAGGCAAAGTCCCAGCTAGTGTCCCGGCTGGGGTTCGAACTCGTGCCTGTGGTATCACCCACCGGCACTCATCCAGCTCCTTATTCAACGTCGCGGCCAACGACGAGCAAGCTGACTGACTGACTGACTGAGATTACAGAGAACCCGGCCCTTTAAAGGGCTGGGGACACACAAGCCGTGCCCACTAGCTCTGGACAATATAAGTATGAAACCAACCAACAGACAGGGCGGCGGAGCGGGGGCTGCGAGGAGCCGGTCGGGCACAGCGGGCGGCAGGGAAAGCGGAGGGTGCCTTGGAGCCAGCCCAGTGACTGTCAGAGAGGTGTGAGGAGGGGAAACGGGGGGCAAAAGACAGGGGAAAGAGGGGGATCAAGGGCCAGGACCGCCAGCAGGCGGCGCAAGCGGCTCAGAGACGCCACCCACCCCGGCACAGAAGCTGGGGGAGCGGCTAGGCGGGCGGGCGGGGACCGCCTCAGAGGGCAGGCGACACAGGGGGTCAAGGCTCAGGTCAGATCACACGGGAGAAGGGGGCAGCCAGCTGCCAACGAGGAGAGGGGAGAAAGGGGGACGCCAGAGAAAGCACACCGAGCGGCAGCGCGGCAGGCACAGCAGCGCACGAGCAAGCACAGGCGCACAGGCACTGCAGCACACTGCCGGCGGGTCCCCGATGGCGTGACTGCGGAAAAGCGCAACCACCTCCACTGGTTCCAAGCACACCTCGCACGGCGCAATAGCCAGCCAAGGGGCACCACAGCCAGGCAGCAGCCGACAGCGCACGGGCAACCGGATGCAAGCCGGCACAGCAGGCGAGCAGCGCGGCAGCAAGGCGGCGGGCACAGGGCAGGCAGGCAGAAGATGGGCAAGAGGGAAGACGGACACGAGAAAAGGGGTGAGGAGGGCACAGTCAGGAGAAAGGCGGGGAAGGGCCAGCGGAGCTGACTGACGATCAAGCAGGGGGAGGAACAGGAGGGGGGCGGAGCCGAACGCGGCCGCCGGTAGAGAAGAAAAAGGGGTGGGCAGGGCCAAGGCTGTCAACCCAAGAGGCGGGGGCACAGCCCAGGGCCTCAAAATCAGCGAGAAGGGACCAGAAGGAGTGGAGAGCCGCGCGGCGGGCAGCCTCCAGCGGCGTGGCTGCGGGCTGCGGTGCTGCGGGGCCAGGCGCGGCCGGCTCCAGCGGCGGGGGCGGCGGGTCCTGAGTGCCGCCGCCGGAGGAGGCTGCGCCGGCAGCAGGCCGCGAGGCCGGCTGGTGCAGGAAGCCGTCGAGGGTGAGCTGGGTGAAGCGCGGTCCGGCGGGCTGCGCTGGCGGGGCGCCACGGCGGCGCAGCACCTCGGCCGCCAGGCTGCGGCGGCCCCGGTCCATGGCCTCCACAGCGGCCAGGCACACCACACCCCAGGCGCCAGCGCGCACGCCAGGCGGGGGGCGGGCAAGCCAGATGTCGGCGGGACAAGGGAG